ACTCTAAAGCAGCCGTCACACTTGGGGAGAGGAACTGAACAGCTCTTCCAACGTTCATTTTTTCTATATTATTAGGGAAAACATGCTTCCGGCTCAAATATCGGACAAGTTTTACAGTTAAACCTTTCTGCATCTCGTGCAGGTCCTTGATGAAGGAAGCAGAAATTTCACATTTTGGCCCAATATCATGCGACAACAGTTGTGACCCGACGTTCTTTAACACGTGACACGGGTCGAAACTCATGAAAAGGAGTCTGTCTGGGTCACAGGGATGTTCAGTCTTGTAGATTACCAATCCATTCCCGAGAAGTTTGATGGCATTCACAATAACTTTGTGATTTTCGGTCACTATAGCCACACAATCTTAAATCCACATGCTTCCACTTCCTTCATTACAAAAACAATCAATTTATGAAGTTTTCAATTGGTCGCCGGTAAGTCCTTTCGTAAAATAGTAAGCCACTGGTATTCGAAATGCTGTGCTCATGACACTAATCACTAAACAAAGAAGTGAATTGGCTAAAACAGGGCTGCTGCTGTTTTGTTCTAGATCAACATCTACGTGCACCACAAAGCAATTCCTTTCCTTGTGGTACTGTAACTTTTCTTTTATCCTCATTTCGTCAACGATGAGAGAGCAGACCCTTGACTGAGGCTTGTCCAAGTTTTTAGCTTCTGTAGCTAACCTGCATGGTTTCAACCAGTTTGCTGAAGCCCGTCTCACCACTGGTAGTGCCAATGTAATTCGTCAGGGTTGTTCGACTTGGAAGTTTTAGAAGCGTTTCACGTCGCATGTGCTCGTATGCTTTTGTTGACAAATGTCGAAGGACCACGCACCGACGAGTTGCCTCTTCAGACCAGGTTGGCCTTTCTTTCTTAAAATTTGTGATTTGGTCTAGCAAAAACGATGCTGCAGGCTGTTGCTCTGTGGTCCTTTGTCTGACATACGCGATATCTGACGTCAAAGAATTTTCTTGCAGCTTTCTTAGCTCCAATTTGTACTTTTACACAGTCCGTTGCAACCTAAGTGCCTGGTTCCTCAGGTCATTTTCTTTTCCATTTGGCTTTTTCTGTGGTCAGCAAACTTGACACTTGCCTGCTGTCGACCTGAATATCTCGGTCACATGCACGAGGCTTGAGTGCACCTTCCTTATCATGCGTAACATCATTGCGCTGATCGGTTTGGCTGACACTATCGGCGGTGTCCACGGGCTCTGGTTCCTCCCATTCAGGTTCTGGTGGTGTGGGTGCTGCAGGTGGCAACAGCCCAGTAGCGCCGCTTGTCGCATGGCCACTCCCCACTCTCAACAGAGCACAAGCTCGCTTTTCAATGCTTGCTGTGCTTCGTTCAGCGCTTTCTTTTGGCTGCAAGTGTTTGGCGTAATCTTCAAAAACTGAAGGCACTGTACCTTTCTTCAACAGTCGTCTCTTTCCTTCAAGAAAGTCTTCGACGCGAAAATGACGGCTACATACCTTCGTGTAACATGATTGATTGATGATTGATTGATATATGGGGTTTAACGTACCAAAACCACCATATGATTATGAGAGACGCCGTAGTAGAGGGCTCCGGAAATTTCGACCACCTGGGGTTCTTTAACGTGCACCCAAATCTGAGCACACGGGCTTACACCATTTCCGCCTCCGTGGGAAATGCAGCCGCCGCAGCCGGGATTCGAACCCGCGACCTGCGGGTCAGCAGCCGAGTACCTTAGCCACTAGACCACCACGGCGGGGCTACCTTCGTTTAACAGGACGTTGCATTTGGCGACCAGCCGTCCCGCCGAATAGCGGCCAACCAACCACTTCTCTCGTACGTCGGCGGCAGCAGGAACTTCATGGAAAGATAGTCCAGGCACTTTAATTTTTTTCGTCCGACTTGCACAGTGGCACGCAGCAGTACGACATAACAAGTCATGCAAGGTACGTGGTCACAACAAAGGAAAAAAGAAAACTTCCATCGCATTCAACTCGCCAAACACAACCGCACGTGTCAAGGCACAACAAAACGAACAAGCGCTCCAGGCCGCGCCCGCACCAACCAAGGAGGTTATACTAAACTAAGTTCTAAGTATAACCTCCTTGGCACCAACACTACCGACAGAGCACCCGATGGATGGATGGATATGGCTGTACCCTTTAGATCGGGCGGTGGCTAGCGCCACCAAGCCGTAATACTTAATGAACCCAAAACTATATTTATTTTTTTCCTTAAAAAGTGAGTTTGAGGATTCGTACTTTGCAGTGAAGAGTTTAATTTTCACTCGTGCCTTGACTTTAGCCACCAATCAGATAACCTCCTTCTAGTTAAGTCTACTTGCTTAAAGTATATTTTGCCCTCCCGGTCCCTAAACCCCAGTGCTTTGAAAAACTCTGCGCCATAATCCTGAACTATAGGGTGAAGCCCTTTACAGAACATTATCAAGTGTTCGGCAGTTTCTTCTTCCTCTCCACACGCACTGCATACTGTGTCTACCCCTTCGCATTAGACCCGATATGTCTTGGTTCACAGTATTCCCGTCCTTGCCTCAAACAGTAGAGAACTACCCGAGTATTATCATAGATCCTTTCCTTGGCGATTTCCTGCTTAAAAGTTCGATAGATCTCTAGTTCGAACTTCTTAATCATGCCCATTTTCCACATGTCAGTCTCCGTTTCCTTCACTTTCTTCTTAACCGATAGTTCTTTTTGGTTTGGCCACCTGCTGTTTTCTAAGTATTTACCAGTCAACTTCCTGGTTCGCTTCCTCCATTTTGTATCGACATTCTTCATGTACAAGTAGCTGAAAACCTTCCTAGCCCAACGCTCCTCCTTCATTTTTCTCAATCGCTTCTCAAATTTTATCTTGCTGCTAGCTTCCCTGCCCACAAATGATGTCCATCCCATATCACCTTGTACTCCCTGATTTGGTGTATTCCCGTGAGCTCCTAAAGCAAGCCTACCTATTCCACGTTGCTTAATTTCTAATCTTGCTTGAACTTCTGATCTCATGCACAAGACCGCATTGCCGAACGTCAGCCCAGGAACCATGACCCTTTCCATATTCCTCTCACAACATCATACCTATTGTAATTCCACAGTGCCCTATTTTCGATCACTGCTGCATTCCTGTTACCTTTAGTCGTCACGTATATTTCGTGTTCCCTCAGGTTTGCACCCGAACCGACCCTGTTTGCACAGCGCCACCACGCAGTGGCGGCGAGCGGGAGAAACGAAAGCGCCGACGGCCGCGAGAGGGCGTTCTACCAGGCACTGAAAGTTATAGAGAAGGCACTGCAATAGGGCAGCAAGCACTGAGCTCACTGTGTTCTGGTGTATAGAAGTGTGTTAGTCTGGCCTTCAAAAAAAAAAAAAAAATGGTACCCGATTGGATACGCAGGAACCGAGGGGAATAATGTGGAGTCAGCATGCATCAGTGCACCCTAAATAGCATGAACAGACAAAAAAATTAGCTACCTGCACCGTTAAGGCAATGCGATGTATAGGGAAGGCGACATGAAGTTTTTCTATCTTCCCTCCCCTCATTCTCTCATGTGAAGAGATGCATTTATTTATGCTCGCAAATAATAGACATAGATGGTAGTTCAGTGCTAGGTCTCATCTGTTCTTTTCTGTCATCATTTTTTATGCTATTTGGCCCCGATGAAGCTTCACCGACAAGCTTAAACCCATACACTTTTTCTACAGATTCACTGTGGCGTGCGTCGCCAGTATATCAATATTGGTGCTCCCCATATGTTGTCGCAATGTTACGAGCATGCATCTGCTTGCCGATGCGATAAGATAACCTCATCACACATGAACACAAGTATACAATTCTCGTTGTAACAGGTTATAACTATTCAGAAAAATTTTCTTTCGTGTCAAATCCTATTACCTACGGGTGACCTACCAATGGGTCATGACTCACCTAGAAGATATACCGAGTAGCCCACCAGTGTGCTACTCTGCACGTAAACCAAGACCTCAAAAAAGCCCGCCGAAGCAAAAGTGTTGTACTTAATATCCCAAACTTCATTTACCATTTCACAGATACCTCTATAGTATCCTGCAAATAAACCTGAGCTCCACCATTTGAAAGATACATGTGTATGTGAACTTTATTTATCTACTACAAAAAAAATTACAACAAATATATCAGTTCGAATGATAAAGCAAACTTTGAGCGCACGTATTTACCTGCACATATAAATTGGGGGCTTTGCATATGACAAAGGAAAATATTTCATTGAGAAAACTCCTGCTTTGACCTCCTCCTCCTTGCAAACAAGCTCGAATTTGCATGCTTCTCAAGTTTCATATAAATATACATGTGTTCTGTTCATGCCTTTCATCTTACTGAAGTGAAGCCAGCAGTGCGATAACAAGACCTCTGAGCTTCCATGGTTTTCCTTGATCAGTTTCCCATTCCGTCTTTTTGATACTCTTCACAGGCAAGTGGAAAAATCCTTTGCATCTACTTCTGGCACCAATACACAATGTCTGTCAAAAGTTATATTTTTAGCACATTTTTCTCATCTTCGCTATTAAAACATGCATGCAGCAACGTAACAAATCAGACACAAAAGATTCATCAGTTATTTTGTTCTAAGATTGATAACAAGACTAATGTTCTTTTCTGAATATGAACAAGTACACTTAGAAAATGAATACCCACTATAACAAACGTGCTTTTGTGTTAGATGCCACTTTTTTAACAGGTTAGATGCTATTGCAGTATTAAGGATCCACCGACATCTACTCATATAACTGCTCCCAAAAGCATTTGGCATATAATTGTAGAGCACGCTTCCCTCAATAGTTACATGCAAGTTACCATTATTCTTGTTAGTGATTTCATTTTTCTTTCTTTTGCATTTTAAAGTGTACAATTGGACATTCAGTGTGGGACAGAGATAGTTACTTGTGACCTTCGAAACAAGCTAAAGAAAAAGAGTCGTAATAACGGCATGAAGGCACGAAGGAGTGACTGTGATGGCACTTCCATCTTGCAAAAAATTATGAGGAACAACAGTTTTATTTATCTAATTTTTTTTTTTCAAAAGGTGAGCTGACACTAAGGTCCAGAGCGAGCCGTTTCATGAGATCGAAGCGGCCAACGGCGAGCATCTCCGCCGTTTTCGTACCAAGCCTATTGTGGGTCACTCTGTTGGGGGATCCCTTTTTTGCAGCAGGAACCTGCAAACAGAAAAGCGGCCCACTTAGGGAATCTCGACGAATGAATTTCTCATTATACCGTATATGGTTCTATACAACTCTGAATGGCTGCAGAAAAAAGAAGAGAGCAGATTGTCAACAATTCCCAATCACTGCAGCAAGAAATTTTGTGCCCACAAAACTACCACAAGAATCAATAGTAGCACAGCTGCATTATGCAACCCTTTGAAGAGATGGGCTGGAGGAGCGACTTCAGAGACTAGAAAAGATCACCTGGGACATTATAGTTCTTGGCCAAGTTAGAAGAGCTGGGGAGGCATACACCCTAATATTTATCGGAAGATTAGTGTGCTATAGAGGATTTCTAGACAGAAGAGTGTGTGGTGTGATATTGTGAATTAGAAAATATTTCGCAGGCAACTTTATAGAGTTGTCTAGCATCAATGAAAGGGTAGCGAGCCTCGTTATCAAACAAAACAAATGATACAAACTCAGACTAGTGCAGCTGCACGCCCCAAGAACTATTAACGATGACAGAGAAGTAGAACAGCTAAACAAGGATATTGAACCAGTAATGAGGAGAGGGTGCACCCAGTGCAAAATAATCATGGGAGACTTATTTGCAAAACGAGGAGCAAAACAAAATGGGGAAGAGGCAGTCCGTAATTTGGTACTCCCTCGAGGAATAGCAGAGGGGAGATCTTGATGGAATTCGCATAGCAGAATAACCTTCGCATAATGAACAATTATTTCCGAAAGGGTGAAAATAGAAACTTGACATGGCAAAGCTTTAAAGGACAAACAAAAAATTGAATTGATCTTATTTTATGCAGAAGCCTAGGCATTGATGTCATAAACCAGGTGCAGTGCAAAGACCATAGGTTAGTAGGGCCAGAAACAGAGCTTAATTTGAGATCTCAAGCAAGATTAGCGACAAAAAGCAACCCAATCTACATGCAGTAAAAATTAATTTGGAAGATTTTATGATTACTATCTAAATCAAAATATTATAACAGGCATGAAAAATCTTTATTAATACAGTCACAATCTGAAAATTTTTCCACATCATGTTATTATTTGTGAATGTATTGATAAAAGCAGGTCAAAGTTAAAAAAAAGGACTTTCTCATAATTAATAAAGTACAGTCTTAACAGCAACACATTGTCTTTATCATCATCCAATTTTATGCCCAGTCCTAGAAAACAGTCCTTCCCCATACTGCGTGTCAGCAGCAGCTGCTGTTGCTAAAATTCACGTCCTAATTTCGTGCCCCAGCAGAGGATATGTTGAAGTATGGTCAAATGTCACATTGAAAGATTAGGATGTCCTTTCAAATGTACACCATAATGAGCCAGCTTGATGTTCCCAGCACTCACCGGTGGCACAAAAGAGTGCTGACAGCCGGCTATTGCACTTCAATCGCCAAGCACTGTATGCTGTAGCATTAGCAGCTAAAACTAATTAAAATGTGCAGTTCTCCACAACAAAACTTTTCATTTGATTACCAAGCATGCGGTAGCAGATGAGATTGTGTCATTTCTGACAACCTGGGATTAAATAGCGTGAGAGGAAGGGCATTGCGTGCCGGTACTGAGATAACCGTGCCTGCAGAATGTATGAAACCATCGCCATCTATGTAGCAGGTCATTCATGCATCAGCTCCGCATCCGTCACACTAACAGGCGATGTGGTTAACTATCTCCGAAGTTGAGTGTTGCACGACACTGCGACAAATCACGGTATGTTTGCACGTGCTAGGTAGATCTTCTCCTTTTACCTCTATACTTCCACTTCCCGATATGCGCACAGTAAAACCTCATAAATTCGAAGTCACTGAGACTGTGAAAATCTGTAAATTAAGCCAATTTTCGAATTAACAGAACATACAAAAATGGGATGCAGGGAAGTTGAAATTATTTAAAGTATAATCAGGTCTGGTCGTTTGCTGTGCTGGCTAGTTTGCCGCTCCAAGGGTTACGTTCGCAGGGAATACAAGGGCGCAGTTTGCGTAAACAATGGGGAATGCCGAGCCTCACTGCTGCAATCGCAAACAAACAAACAAAAAAATGTCCTGATCAACTGGAACGCACACCTGCTAAAAATAAAACATCTTCAGTGCACCACAGTAGTGATGTACAGGCTGTGTATCCCGTGCTCCTCGCTGCATCAGCACGTCGATCTATATGTGACTGTTTGCCCATTCTTTCTAGTAGAATAAAGAATTTATTCATAGGCAGTGTCACGAAATTCGCAATGTTTTGGCTGGAAAACATTCTCATTGAAGCCTTCGAACAGAGTTTCTGAAGAAGGTGTAACAGGCAGGAACTCTGCCAGCAGTGCAAGTGCGCTAATTTTTGGAGAAACCGGCCCTCGGGAATTTGCATACATCGCGAATACTGTCAGACTGTTCTCTATCGAAGAAACCTGTATATTCTCAAAAATAATGGGTAAATCATGAGGCGCTCAGGTTGCGAGAAGGATGTGACATGCTGCTCGCTCGTCAACGCTGTGCTGCCAAGAAACATGTCTTGTTTTCCGCAAGCGCACATTTCAGCTGATCATGAGACAGTTTTTTTATATAATTTTATTTTCCATGCTGAATTATACAGGCTGGAATACTTTAGCTGCCACTCAGTAGTATCGCTACAATACATTGCCTAGTCGCTCTTAAAGACTGTAGTTTCCGCGGTGTTGTGGTGTAATCGGGATCAGAAATTTGTACACTGCACCAAAAGTTTTCGAGCTAACCGGACTGATGCTGACCGCCACTTCAAATTATCCGCTCAAACATGCATTGCAAAATACGGGACAGCTGAAATACTTCAAGTTAGACATATTCCAAAATAACAGAGTTCAAATTCTTGAGGTTTTTACATAGTATTTGTACAGAAAATAAACGCAGTTGGCAATCGGCGCTACTGCTGTTTGGTCCTCCTCATCCTTGTTTTATGCTGTTTTTTACTAAGATTGGTATACTAAAAATGTAGAATGAGGTGAGAGGCTTAAACAAGCTCTAATTTGCATGCGTTTCAAGTTCTACGTATATGTATGTGTGTGTGTGTATGTATGTATGTATGTATGTATGTATGTATGTATGTATGTATGTATGTATGTATGTATGTATGTATGTATGTATGTATGTATATATATATATATATATATATATATATATATATATATATATATATATATATATATATATATATATATGAGATATGGCACAACGGGAGCGTTGTGCCATATCTTCATCAGGGGATGAGTTAACTCATCCCCTGATGAAGGGAGGACCCCTCCCGAAACTGTTGGGAAATAATATATTTATCCTTGTTGACAACGCTCCCGTTGTGCCATATCTCATACCTTCACGAAGACTAACTGGCCCATTGCATTATTACTCCCACTATCTATCTATCTATATATATATATATATATATATATATATATATATATATATATATATATATATATATAGACAGGCTAATATATATATATATATATATATATATATATTAGAGAAGAGACACAACTTAGCGGTTGCCTTAATTTTATTTCCAACGGTTTCGACTGATGGACCAGGTTTCGTCAGGGTTTGCGAACAACCCTTAAGAAGACCGGTCCACCGTTCGAAACCGTTGGAAATAAAATTAAGGCAACCACTAAGTTGTGTCTCTTCTAAATTATGTTTGACCCATTGATCAAACTTCTTCAGGTGTGTGTGTGTATATATAGATATATATATATATATATATATATATATATATATATATATATATATATATATGCACACATGTGTTCATGAATCTCACCTTACTAAAGTGCTGCCAGCAGTGCCATAACAAGACCTCTGAACTACCATGCTGGGTATTGATCAGTTTTTATTTCTTTCTTTTTGATACTATACACATGAAACTGAAAAAAAAACACAATTTTTTCTATCTCTTTGTTGGCCTTGATCAGTTTCCTCTTCCATCTTTTTGATACTCTGCACACGCAAGTAGAAAAAAACAATCCTTTGCATCTACTTCTGGCACCAACACGCTGTCCTGAAACTCTTTATGGAAGAGAAAAGTATACAACCACTGCATACTGGCAGTTCTGTATGGGGCTGAAATATGGAGATTAACAAAAACAAGAGCAAAATCTGACAACCACACAGTGTGCAATAGAACATAGAATGATAGGAATAACATTGAGAGATAACACACTAGAGTAGCAGATAGCCTAGTTGATATCACGTGAAAAAAAATGGACCTCTGCTGGTCATGTAATGCATACAACAGACAACCGGTGAACAGTGAGCAACCGAATGGTTACCAATGAATGGAAAACAAAGTCAGGGAAGGCAAAGAGTTATTTGAAGCATCCAAATTAGGAAGTTCGCAGAGATAAAATGGAATCAGGTCACACAGATTAGGGTAAAGGTCTCCACTTTGCAGTGGTCCAAGACAGGCTTAGGATGATTATGAACTTAAGAGGATGCTCCGCTGGCCAAACAGGCACCATGTACTATAGTTTTTCTTGTACTTTAAAGGGGCCCTGAAACACTTTTTCAAGTAACCACGGGATGAATTCACTGGAAGAGCTTATTGCCTCACGAATTCAATGCGTCAAAAATTTTAAGAATCCGACCAGTGCGAAAGGAGTTACAAAGATTTGTCGCATGCTGTAATTGCATTCTCTCTTCTCTCGTCCCGACCGAATATCACACCCGACAAATGTCACACCCGACAAATGTCACACCTGCCTCGCGACCTTGAGCACTTTTTTTTTCTTCGAAAGCGCTACTTTTTCAGTGTGATTGCGCACGCACGTGTAGAGAGTAGTGGCCTCTTGCAGTGATCTCTGTAATAAGCGAGCGGGCCGTGTTCAAATCAGCCAATGGCTGATAGATGGGCTAGCCACGTGTGATTTTTTGGCATACTCCGTGATTTGTCGAGAGAAGAGAATGATGATTACTGGAGTTTATTGGCGCAAGGGGCAGATGTGGCCAAAGAGCGCCAAAGTGATGATAATAAACTCT